TTGCCTCTGTACCATAGTCACATTGTTTCTTTGATTATTGTGTGAATCATCAATTTAAAAGTTAAGTAAAAACACTCAGGATGAACAAAAAACTCTAGAAGAGAATGAGTAAGAACCAAAAAATTTGACATGATAAAGCTGTGAAAGTCAAGAACGACTACAACAGAATTCCTGCTAGGCACCTGTAACCAGAGCTTAAACAGAGCATGACTGTATCTGACAAGGTCTCATAGAAAAAAATTGATTATGGACATACAGTAATGTCATTGCATTCTACTAACTCTGCAAATGTGAGGATTTGCTGCTTTTCTTTGTCATATTGCACATGGCAGTATACTGGGATAGTTTTGGCTCTATTTGTAAAATAATGAATTTGTTTCAGACTGGCTAGGTGACATTTTTGGTTTTTATTTTATAACATTTTCTAGACTAAAGGGTTCATAAAAAAATGGCAGATTAATCAACAAAATGTTCAAATGCACTGTAAATATTCTGCTCACCATGCATGGTTTGTGGCTGATGGGTTCATGTGATGCACCTTGTGCTCCTCGCCTCTCATTCTGAATGCTCTGTATTGATAGCAGCCTATTTATGACTAAAATTGCATGGTCTGAAAATTGTGACGATGATGGCCCTTTAACTGACTGCTCACTTTTCATTTACATTTTTTCACCGTATCATATTTTTACACATGAAACAAATTCACTCTTTTTGGATCTTTATACCCACATTTACTTTTTGGTCCATGTGCGAGCAGTTGTTCTGTCAATGGCCTTCAAAAACGTAAAATTCTTTGAGGTTTATTTACCTTTACAATGCAACCTGTCTATCTTCGGGTAGACTCCTTTAAGCTCTGCCTATAATTATTACTAATTTAAACCACTGGATGAATGAAAAGTAAATGAATTTATCTACATTATTGATATAGTTCCACTCATGATGATGAAAAGTTTATAACTTTGATAAAAGCTAACATTCTGTCAAAACCTTTCTACAGCAATGTTTTTAAGTTAATCCCTTATCAATAGCAGCCTAAAACAAACAACAACAAAAAAACTACCAATAAGTAATCCACCACTTTTCATTTTTCCTGTGGGGTTATATTAACATTTTACAAACAGAGCCAAAACTGTCCCAGTTGATATGTTCATGAATGCACCACAAACTGAGCTTTTCAAGATTTGATTTACTGATAATATAACTCAATTGTGACACTTTTGATGTTCAACTCTTAAATATTCAAATATTCTGTGTCATGTGTCCCCAAAAGTACCAGTAAAAATGGTCCCTCCTCTGCACTGTGGTGACTATTAGCGAGTTTCTACTGTAGACAAGGGAATCATCTGAGCATGTGTTGATGACTTGGTAATGAGCTTTGACAGACAAGTGTGGAGGACTGTGTGAATAGTTCGTAGCCCATCACCAACAGACTGACGTTAGCGTAGCAGAACAGTGAGCTTATTAACACATGAGAGCAGCTCAGCTTAGCAACACACACTGCAGCACTTCACTCAAACTGGTGAGGCAAAGAAAACACCTCGTTTCTACAGACCTGTGCCCGTTTTGGATAACGCCGGCGTTCTCTAGTAGTAACGCTGCAGTACAGGCGCTGTTCTCCACTGCTGCAGATGTAACGTTAACAGGCCAAGTGAGCGCATCCCCCCCCCCCCCCCTCCACACCCCAAACACACATTAGCTACCAAAACCCAGCAGTGGATAAAATAGTCATATTGTTTACTAAAATAAAAATCAGCAGTACCACAGTGTAACAATACTCTAAGTAAAAGTCATGCATTCAAAATATTACTTAAGTAAAAGTACAGCTGTATTAACATCAAAATATACCCTAATGTTTGTATTTGAATTAAAAGGGAGCCCTATTACAATGTTGTGAGTTTACTAATCATGAGCAGCATATCTAAGCCTGTGAAAACAGCTGTATGAGTTCTGTCTTAAAAGAACCCTAATGATGTCATAGTGATGTCATCGGGGTTACATCAGATTGAATTGGAAAATTATGGCTGTCCGCAATCACTCTCTCACTTATTCATTCACTGCTGCTTATGTAATAGACACTTAATAATTCATTCAATAGTGAGCAGTGAACTGAGATGTCAGATACTTACTGATCAAAATCATTTTGCATCACCACTGTTGGCTACTAGTAATGGTATTATTACATCTATGAAATGCAGAGCATTACGTTTTGGGATTTCTAGCAATTTTTTCATGTACACTATTTTTTTCTTCCACTGTGGAATTTTTAGGGGTACTACACAGGGGGACACCATAGACGGTATGGACAACATCACAGCTCCCAGAAGCGAAGCCACTGCAGGTCAATCACACCCTAGTGGCGGGTCATAAACCCTTCCCCCTACATGTTAGCCCATGGCACATGAGTCAAATTAAAATTTCTAAATAAAAATCAAACAAATTTTCCCCAAAGATGACTTCTGTCATTCTGGGTAGATATGATGATGCTGATCTGTGTAGAAGTGTTCATTTTTCTGGCAAGTTTACGTTATTTTATGATATTAAAAAAAGAGTGCATTTCAGATGACTGGACAGCTTTGACAGGTGACCTGACCCTGTCACTCCATCTCTGGTCACTATTGCGACAAATCTGGTTGCAAAATGTGTCACCAAAGGAAGAAGGTAGCCACCATATTCACAATATCCATCTTTATATGCAGGATAGTCTATGGTGAATATATTCACACACACTTAGAATTTGGACACTCAAAGTAGTAGTGGGTAAATTGTTTAGCAAATATAGAGTGGTTTTGAACACAACCTATACATTTCTTGAAGAAACAAGTATTACAAAACTGAGGATGTGAAATATGAAGAAATGTGAGCATTTACCAGCCAGGAAAGGTCTTTAAAAAACTGATATTTTCTTTTTGGAACTTGGCCCTTAGGAACAAAAAGTTAACATATCTCAGCCACTGCAGCATAAATTTATACCATTCCTTCATCTCTTTTGTGAGCCCCCCAACTTCATGGAGTTGAAAGAGTGAAATCACTGGAGTACATTTTACATGTTTGAAACATATCAGCAGATTTATATCATCTCTCTAAAACTCACTCATCCTCTTGACAACAGAGTATAAAACTATGGCATAGACTTGCACCAAATGGCGATCAGATCGACGACAGAAGACACGGATGCTGTTTTTTTATTCCTTGCCAATATTAAGAAACAATCACCATCAATCAACACGAGTGACTCTGTTCCTTAATTTAAAGCTACCTGTTTGCACTCCATTTCCCTCTGCCTATCTACAGACGCCTGCTGCCTCTGCCAGTGTGTGTCTAACAGGTCTGTGAGCCAAGCACAACCCTGGTTCTTTTCACTGCTCCACTATATTTAAGCACATGGTTGACTGAAGCCTAACATTTACTTGTGAAGGTATATACAGTAAATGTCTGTTATTATTGACTGCATTTTTTAATTTGGCATTTCATTTGTTACTAACTTTGCTTTAACATATCAGCAAAACAAGTTTTTGTCTCTGTGTGTGTGTGTGTGTGTGTAATTAGACTGAAACTGATGGGAGAGCTCCATTCCTCTGCGGGCGGGCAGTCAAGAAATCCAGAATCCAATGGCATATGGAGCTGGAAAGTCCAAGAGCCTGTAGTTTGGACACAAGTCTGTGAGGGAGGATGGTGTTAAAGGCGGAACTAAAATCCACAAACAGCAGCCGCACATAGCTCCCCGGCTGCTCCAAATGAGACAGAGCAGTATGGAGAGTGGTGTTGATGGCATCCTCTGTAGATCTATTTGCCCGGTATGCAAACTGGTGGCTGTCAAGGTTAGATGGAAGACATGAGGTGATATAACTACGTACCAGTTTCTCGAAAGGTGCTACAGGTCACTGTACGCCAAAACAACCAGAGAAGGAGAGATTCTGCCCCTTTGCCATCACTCTTATGAACACTTAACCCACACTTGCATGATTGGACATATCCATCTGAAGCCCTTCTGCCACAATGTACATATGTGTGTGTGTGTGTGTATAGTTACACCTATTTTCTTATATACATTTTAAAATTTTCTTGTGCCTTACAAAAGCACACTGATAGCCTCTGTACCATAGTCAAATTCCTTGTGCGTTGGAACACACTCAGCCAATAAGGCGGATTCTGATTTTATATTAGTTGTAATATTACAAGCTTTTTAAAAATGACTGACTCTTGACTGAAGTATCCTGCTAGTGTGACTGCCATGGTCTAGCAGCGAGGCCTCTGACCTGCACACACTAATACCCAGGCTAGGCTACATGGTCACTGTGAATACAATGAGAATACAAACTGGCTGATGGTTATGTCTGTGTGTGGACGTGGGCGAGCTGACTGTTAAGCCTGTAATATAAATGTAAGTAGCCTATGTAACGTTATCTAAATTGCATCTCAACAACACAAGCACGACTTGAGTAGTCTCCATCTCCATCCTCCTCCTCCTCATCATCATCATCACTCATCCTCCTCATCATCACCCTCCTGAGATAAAGAACCACAGCTGAATTGGTGAAAATGAAACCGAGAACATTAGAATCCACTAGAATGCATCAGAACGCGGTGTAATTGCGTGTCTTTGTTGTGTCAACAGCGGTGTGTGTGTGTGTGTGTGTATGTGTGTGTGCTCTTTTGGAGCACCAGGCTGCAGCTGCAGTGAGCCTGGAAAACGAAGCCAGGAGCGAGTGGAATAAAGTAGGCCCGAAATAAACAGAGGCTATTACGAATAAAACCTTCCCCTCCTACTCACATTAGTCTGCCGGATTTTTATGTTCATTGCAAGCCGAGGGCTGTGAAAGCCTGGCGCTCAGATGTTCGTTTACATTTCGTGCATCGTCTTGTCCCCCGCACTGCACCCCCAGCGATCCATGTAACAGCCGGTGTTTCCTGAAGATTTAACGTTACATCCAGTTACCTCCGCTCGGAGCCCGTGTCCCCTGCTTAGCCTAGACCCGCTACCCCGCTGCCGTGGCACTTACCTCCTCATGCTGTGGACCTCCGGGGATCACCGACGAGCAAGAGGAGTCCAGCCTAGTGCCCAGCTCGTCCAGGCCCCGCTTCCTGCCCGGCTCCCGCTCCGCGGGGTCTCCGTTAAAGACGGGCGGTGGGGACTCGGCGCTGCTCAACGCCGCCATTTTAAACTGCGAGAAACTGAGTGGAAAATAATAAAGGGAAACGCAGGCTGGTACTGAGGACAGGAGGGGGAGACAGAGACGCAGGACAGAGGACCGAGCTCCCAAGGCTCCAGACTGGAGGAAGGACTACTACTGTACACTTGGCACACTAAAATTTATTATAATTATTATTATTATTATTAAGGAAAAACCCAATAAATCCCCAATGAGCAAAAATGTTAATGGAAGAAACTCCCTTTAACAGAAGAAACCTCCGACAGACCCCGGCTCTTGGTGGG